TTTTTGGATCATTATGTTTAATTTTTAGGTTACTTTTTGAGTCCTTGCTTCTAACTTTTGAATTCTTTTCTACAATTTTTTTGATCCATTTTTATAATTTTTAAAATTTTTTTGCCTAATTTTTTGATCAGCTAACAATTAAAGTTGACTTTTGTTGTTGGTACGATTAACATTGTACTATTTTTTAAAGTTAAAAATAAACATTATATCAAAATTGAACTTAAGAGATTCTAGGCATTTTGGGATTTAAAGTTTAAAGATAAAATTGTTTTTCTAACCCTATCATGAATGAAAACAAGCCAAATGATAAAAACTCCTCCTATTTGAGGGCTTGACTCAATTTGAATTAAAATTTGAGAATAACACCAAGCATGAAAAGTGGGTTAATGGCAAGAGAGAGAAAGAAAGAAAGAAAACAATGTGGCATGTTAAAGCATAAAGGGATAGGGTTGTGGTGGAATGGAATGAAAGTGGTAAGAATGGTGCAATGGTGGTGGCGGTGTGCATAGTGTTTGTGGGGTTGGAATGAGTGATTGGGATCTAAAGACAAAATAAAAAAGTGGGTGACACTGCCACGTGACTGACCCACTAAGCACCGCCACTTCCATTAACTCCACCATCAATCTCTTTCTTCTCCATTTGCTTCATTTCAACGCCAACCGCCAATACTAACTCTCCACGGTTAATTACTTACTTATGTCATCATTTGTCCAATCTCAATTCTACTCTCTCCCTCTCTGTTTTTTTTTTTACCGTTTGTTTTGATGGTTTGTTATCTGTCAATTATGTTATGTCGTGTCATTAGACTTCTAAATAGAGTATTGAAAGTTGAATCAATTATTGAGTGAGTGAATAAATAGATCACATGTTAATGACTAAAATTATAATTGAACTGTCATCAAATTAATTATAAATAAAGTATTTTTTATACTAATTTGACGGCAGGTTGATATTGATTTTCATTCTATGTTTGTAAACATAATTATTTTTACTTTGGAGAGCAAATGACATGGGATAATGCCGAACAACAAACCTCACAATCAAGAATAAAAAAAAATTAGCAAACATAAGATTAATATTCACAACATTAAAACTAAGCTTTCAGTGACTAATTAAAATTGACGTGAGTATTATTAATTTTTGTAAATTAAGCAAGTAGTTGGAAATTTAACTTATAGTTCTTATGTAAGTAACAACTTATTTAAAAGATATTTACTTTTACTCTCAAAACCTCAAGGAGCTAATTTCTATGATCAATTTACTCCTTTATCCTTGCTTTTCTGATCTTATTTATAAAATAAGGAGAGAATCTTTATTTTGATTTAATTTATAAGGCACAACAATAATTATTATGTTTATTTTTATCATTTTTCCCCATTAAATGTAAAATTTTTATTAAATGTTAGAGTATTTTATTTTAAAGTAGGTATATATAATAGAAGTAAAGTTAAAAATTTATTAAATTTTTAAACAGAGTTATTAAAATTTAAATTTTTTTTATTTCAACAAAAATATTAAAAATAATTTATAAATAAAATTAAGAGTAGTATGCTATTAAACAAAAACCTGGCTCTGTAGAGGTGCATGGGGAACAAGTGAGACTAGGATGACCTTAAGATAGGGCCTGGGTTGACTCACCAGACAAGATCAGGTTTGGCTTCAATATTAAAAAAAAAAAAAAAGAAGTAACAAATTAATTTGTTTTTTCTTGTAAAATTATAAATACATAATAATTAAGATCTGGTTTGCCTTTGACCTGCCAAGCTATCACTTTGACTGAACATCCTAAATTTATAACCCCATCCCACACACTCATTGTGTACCACTATGGCACTGTATCCTTAATGTTGGATTTCTAAGATGGTTAAGATATATATATATATATATATATAATATTAAACCTTATTTTTATAATATATCTTTCATCTTCGTTAAAATCACTTTTAGCCTCACAGTAAGAATAATCACTTTTGGAAATAATGCTGTAGTTGCTTTTTCTCGCACGCAAAAGCAGACTCAAAAAGCCACTAACTCAGGGTTAAGCTAAGAGGATTTGACAGCTAATAAAGACCAAAATAGTAAATTAAAGGACCAATAGATTTTAAAAACATTAGAAAAGCACCAAAAGTTGTTGTACTTATACACACATTCGTGTGCCTAGAATTCAAAAGTAAATTTACTTGAATATTTTAAGTCTCCAAGCTAATTTTCATGCTTCAATCTTAAGATTTAAAGATTAAAGATTAGTTGCAAATTATTCTTTAACTTGATATATATTTTTTAAATAAGGATTCATTTTTATTTCCTTTAAATTTTCAAATAATTGAAGAAAATATTTTTAGAAATTTCATCTTAAAAATTGAAAAGTCAGTCAAAAAAATTATCGTTAAATAATTAAAATGAAAAAATTGCTACATCTTTAGAACTTACAAGTAATTGTGTCAAAAAAAAAACTGAAGGCATTTTAAATAATTTTACTTTCACAATTTGATCCTTTATCGTATCCTTTTTCTAATATTTTAAAATCTATTAAGCAGCATTAATCTATTCTTTTTTAATAGAGGGTCTGTTTGAATTTCAACTGGATATAATTAATTGATATAATTGATTTTAATTATAATCAATTGTGTTATAATGTGATCATATGTAGATATTATTTTTTAAAATTAATTTTGATAGAATTAAAAATGTTTGGATAATATAGTTAGAATCAATTTTAAATATACAAATTATCATAAAGGATATTATTTTTAAAAATTAAAATATTGATAAGATTATATATAATGATGTTAAATTTGTTCAACTCATTTAATAAGTAAAATATATTTCATTCGTTCAAAAATTGTAAGACATTTTTTAAAGAGTTGAATATTAAAAAATATAAGGTATTTTTAATTTTTTGAGATGTAATCATTGCATTTTTTTTTAAAGTGTCCCTATTTATAAATGACTTTATATTTATTGTAAAGTATTTAATGGAGATAAATATGAAAAGATAGGGTTAGTTTAAAAGTAGGTAACTACTTTATTGAGAGATAAAATTTGATTAAAAATGTCTTATATTTTTTAACAAAGAAAGTATTGTTTAACTTATATATACACTTGATTAATTATAGAAATTTCAATTATATTATATTGTAATATTAATATTTTAAGGTATGTAAAAATAAATCAATATATCTAAGTTTAAATAAATTTATATGATATTTAACATGCATGATTAATTATGAAAATTATATTTAAAAATAAAAGAATCTTTTATAATTTTAGTAATTATTACTCCATTCCTATCAAATTATAAGACATTTTTTAAAAAATTTTAGATTTTGAAAACATAAGACAATATGAGAAAATTAATGTTTCATTAAATATATTTATTTTAATATTATCTTTCTATCTTTATTTAATAATTAAATACAGATTTAAGATTATACTATAACGTTTTATTTAATAAATTTGACAAATAAAAGCGAGACTGCAAATCCGCAAGTGCACAGGTGGGTATGCCGGGCGGCTAATATTTTTGACAAGCAATAAATGAAAGTAACAGTGAAATTGCAATTGATAGGCTACTTAAGGTAGATTAAAAGAAAACCAAGTTTAGCATCCGATAATCGATTATGGGAAAATAGAGGTGTTTGGGTTTTTTTTTTTTTTTTTTTTTTTTTAACAAAACCATGGTTTGAGGGTTCAAAATCGATTATTTTCCTTCCTTATCTAAGCGTACAGATAGAAGTCACAAAAACAGGGTAGAAGCTCAAAATGAAAATTTTTATACCGAATGGCTCCACGCTCCATAGGAACAAATATTCATATTCTCATATATATATGTATATATATATAGTCTCTATATTCTTATCAACTGATTTTTTAGTATAATCACATTCAAGGATTTACTAAAAAAGTTATTCATAAACAAGGATCAATATGAAATGAATTGTTATTATAATGAAAATATATATTCTCTTTATTAAAAAATATAAGATATTTTTAATTAAATCTCATCCTCAAATAAAGTAGTTACTTATCTTTAAACTAATATTATCTTTTTATAATTACTCTTATATAATATGGTGTTTCATTTAATAATAAATATAAAGTGGTTATTCAATAGGGTCACTTTTAAACAAAAATACAATGATAACACTTTAAAATATTAAAAATGTCTTATATTTTTAAATAAAAGATTACTTATTTTTCATTTTGAGTGAAACTTGTTATTAATCATTATATATATATATATATATATTTTTTGAGTGAAACTTGTTATCTATATATATATATATATATATTTTAGATTACTTATTTTTTTTTTACACATGATGAAAAGAAACAATCCAGCCATGAGAAACATTTAAATTAACTAGTTGAGAGATGGGCTAAAATATACTTTTAATATTTTAATTTTATATAAACTTTTAATTTAATTATTTAATTTTTTAAATTATTTTTAATACTTTAATCCTAAGATCGTTGTTTTTAAATAATTATTTTTTATGTTAATTATTGTTATTTAAAAAAATTATCTTTAATATGTTAATATTGAAAAATATTTTGTTAATATCTAAAAGTTAAATATAAAAATTTATTAGGATAAAACTATTAAAATTAAATAATTAAAAAAATAATTTATAAAATTAAAGGATTAAAATAAAATATTATATAAATTTAAAGGATTAAAAATATATTTTAACTTAAAATATAAAATACAAGCCTTTGGATAATAATCCTACGTGGCGGGGGTCTAGATTAGTCCGACCGAAAATATCGATTCAGCAGCATTTCCTTAATCTAGCTTTTCAGCGGATGGTTTTGAGAGTGCTTGCAGTTGATCAGATGAAGAGCTTCAGTTAAATGGCTAAAGACAGTGATTTAACGGTAACCAGGGCTCCAGCTCAGCATTAATCCTGGGTAGATCTCTATTAATGTTCGGTAACAGTTGGCGCAACATAGCCCAGCTTCTTCTTCTGCGTTAATTTGTTGTTTTGTTTGCTGACTGTTATTCCCTCAAAGGCCAAAAGCTTACATTTTTCACATTCATCATTACTTTATTTGACAATAGTCCATGCTCTCACCTCCACCTTCATCTCCACTAGTCTTCTCTCTTCTTTGGAATATGCTAGTGGTTCGTCCTCTTCCCTCTCCTTCATACCCATAAAATGTTAGCAGCTTCCTTCTCTCTCACCCTAATCCCTTCAATCATTCCCACTGTTCTGTAAATGGGGTTTCAATTTCTCCGATATGGAAGACAGACCACCACAATCCACCGTTCATCATGACCCTCCTCATCCGTCTCTCCCTAATCATCATGATAATATTGACACCTTTAAGGAAGAATCGCCCAGAAAACCCGTCACAGGCGGTGGCGGAGATAGGTTGAAGAGAGATGAGTGGAGTGAAGGAGCTGTGTCGACGCTTTTGGAGGCTTACGAGGCCAAATGGGTGCTCCGGAATAGGGCTAAGCTCAAGGGCCATGACTGGGAGGACGTTGCCAAATACGTGTCTTCACGCGCCAACTTTAGTAAATCCGCTAAGACCCAGACTCAGTGCAAGAACAAGATCGAGTCGATGAAGAAACGGTACCGTTCTGAGTCCGCGTCTGGGGATGCTTCCTCGTCTTGGCCTTTGTATTCGCGTCTCGATCTTCTCCTGCGCGGGACTGGGCCTACTCCGTCGACCACGACGCCGGCTGTGCCGCTTGCTGCGGCCTTGGTGGCGCCTTCTGAGTTGACACATCACGGGAATAGCCAGGGTTTGGTGTTGTTGGAGCCACCGCCAACGGTGGATCGGCTTCCTCATCAACCACAACCGCCTCCGGTGGCCGTCGGTGCTCCTCCTCCGCCTGTCAACGCTCAAAACTCTCATGGATCCAACGGTGTTGACAGGTTAGCCAAGGTAAATTTCACGATTAACGAAAGTATTCATTAATTTAGTTTTCATACTTTGAAACGTAGAGTGTCTGTAAGAAGTAGGAAGAAATTATTTTTTGGCAAGAAAGAAGAAGTAGGACGAAATTAAATTAACCCAACGAGTACTATAGTGTGAATGAAGATTACTTACTCTTTTTTAATCTCGATCCAAATTCATTTTAACAATAAGTTTTTATCCGGATAATTATCATAATTTGAAGGTTAATTAGTTGAGAGGTAACATAAGCATCAGCTTCACATGACTCAGGTTTAATTATAGATTATGTTTCTTTTGTTTCTTATCATTGTTTGATTTATCCACTCTGGGAGTCAGGTTCTTGCCTTATGTGAGGCAGGGTTTGTGTGGTTTCTCATAATTAGGAATCAAAAGATTCTATAACGCTTCAACTTAAAAGAGAGTAAACCATTTCAGTAGTAGCTATATGTTCATAATCTTTCTTTCTAGAAAAATTGCAAGTTACTGTGTAACTTTGAGGCACATTTAACAAGCTTTGGACTGATTAGTGAAAGAAATCTTAGGACTTGGAATGGAATGTAAGTATGAGTACTTTTATGGGTTTGATCTGAGTTTCTTCATTGCCGCGCAGAAAAAGTCACACTCAAAATAATTATTGCATTGACAAAATATAGCATCATGTTGTAGTTTGGCTGCTGACTTATCCTTCCTGTCAAATATGTATATATATACACAATATATGCTATAAGCAAATGATTAAGTTAATTCTATACATAGTAATTTTAGGGGAAATACTCTTCATACTTGTCTGTGAAAGATTCCATGAAAACTCATGGCTGCATATGTTGTGAATATCACATAGCAAAATATGTCAAAGATGAGTTATTTAAAAGAAAAAGTAGTTAATATGGAGAGTATGTTTATTTCGAAATCCTTCACACACACACACACTTAAGAGTCACTACAGTCTCATTAAAAAAAAAAAAAAGTGTGTTGAATCTCTTGCATTTAATAAATTCAATACTAATTAAATAAATATAAAAGAAAACTTAAAGTGGGTATAAAATTTACTTCTTTTTCATTTTCTCTTTATTTGTTTCTCTCTCTTTAAATGCGCATTTTATATTTTCTTGTTAAATGTAGACAATGTAAATTCTCTAAAACAATTTTTTACTTGCTAGCGCCAATAATAATCTAATATATCAGTCGATTGATGATTTTGTCTGCTTATTGTTGGGAGGAATGGAAGAATAAATATTTGAATATATAAAAGAATGCCTAGTAATCAATACTATATATACTCAAATTATACATGTATACTTATGATTTCTCTTAACAATGAACAGGAAGATGGATTAGGAACGAACAAGTCATCGGATCAAGTGTCCAACAAGAACATGAATGAAGTATTGGACACAGATAGCAGCACACCGGCCCTCTATAGCCATTCAAAGGAGCACGCGACAAGGAGCAACAACAACAACGGCAAGAGGAAGATGAAGATGGACCATCAGGGCAACATGAAGAAGATGAAGAGAAGGAGCAAAGAAGAGAAGATTAATGAGATGGGAATAGCAGAGAGCATAAGGTGGCTTGCAGAAGTGGTGGTGAGATCAGAGCAAGCCAGAATGGAGACAATGAAGGAGATAGAGAGGATGAGGGTTGAAGCAGAGGCCAAGAGAGGAGAAATGGATCTCAAAAGAACTGAGATCATTGCTAGTACCCAGCTAGAGATTGCTAGGATCTTTGCAAGTGTCAATAATAAAGGTGTTGATTCCTCACTAAGAATTGGTAGGAGTTAATTAATCAATTAATCATGTGTATTGGTTAGTGTATAGAGTTGATTATTTAATCAATATATATAATGTTATATTGATGAGAAAACTTTGGGGAGAGGGAGATCTATAACTATGTAATTGGCTAACTGCAGGATAAGAGAGTGACAATAATATCTCCTAACCCATTATTGTAAACTTAATTTGTAGCGTCCACTTTAATTAATTAAGGGAACCAAGGGTTGCTTCTGTTTCTTTATTATTATAAATTATGATTCTGATAATTATGATAAATTAATGAGAAAAGCTGTTGAACATATCTTGCATCTTTTTTTCCCCTTTGATAAATTTTGAAGTTTAAATGAGTTAGATTTCAAAAATATATAAAGATTAGAGCATGCTTTTAAGTTTAAAAAAATGCATGCAGGGATATTTATTGATCGTCTGTCAGCAAATTAAATTTAAAAAATTTAAATTATATATATATATATATATATAAAACTGAAAATTTGAGAAAATTTGGGTTGGCTTTAACCAAACTGATTGCCAATTCGGATTATATAACAATGAAATGTAACCTGGATAATTTCTGAAACCCTTTACTTCCTGGCTATTTCCCCTTTTGCCACCCCACCCGAAAGAATTGCCACCTTTCACTTCCAGGCCACGCTGCATTTCTCTATCTCACCCATCTTGTTCATAAGCCATCGATTTTACCCACTCTTCACCGCTTGCAACCCCAACAATGGAGCTTTCTCACTCTTCATTCTCCCGAGAGAGTTGTTTTGCAAGCAACCCATTAGGAAAGTTTTTCAATTGTCACAGAGGATTATCTTGTGGCGTTGCTTCTCTGGCTCGGTTTCGATACTGGTTTTAGATTTCTGGGTGACATGCTGAAAAGATAATCCATATTTGTGCAGAAAACAACGTAACATTTGCATCATTTAACTCTTGGTAATTTCTATTTTCTCAAATACTGAATGGCCATTTGTCAACCATCTTGGCTAAAATGGGTTTATTTTTTTGTATTTTCTTTTCAATTTTCTACGGTGTAATGAAGAAAGACTTTTGCCCCCGTTCTTTTGTTTACTTTTGTGTTGGGCTCTCAGTGTTTTCCTACTTATTTGTTCACAATTAAGTTACGTTGAATGTTGCTGCTTTGGTAATGCATTTGCTTGCAAATTTGGGTGCGCAGAAAAAGTTGTCTGCTCAGGAAGTCCAATCTGTTGCGGAGGGGAAAGAAATAAGCCTCTTCTTGTAGATTTCTACCCAACATGGTGTTCAACTTGTATCTTAATGGCACAAATGCTGGAAATGGTATGTGAAGACTTGATGCAGAACATGGTTATATTAGCTTAATTTGTCTATAACCATGTGATTGGGTTGTTTCCATCCTGAGGTGTCTATCTGATTCGGGTTTCCACTCCCAAGAAGGAAATTATGCTCCCCAAAATTTTCTCATATAAGCTTCCCCATAAAGAATAAAATGATGCTAACAAGAGAGGAAGGTGATTGATGGGAGTCTTTATTGATGGTATTAATGGCTACTCTGTTTTCTCTCCTTCATCTCCAATCTCTTACTAAGAAAACAAACAATGATTTTCACTCTTAATTGCCAAGCCTCTCATTCTGGATTCTTCCATTTTGTCCCTGCCAAGCACACATAACATTCCATTAGAATATGTCTTGGTTTGTTTTCTTGTGCATAATTCAGTCTGAAGGCACTCATCCCTGTATTGAGCATCATCTTTTGCAGGTCTTGTTTATTTTCTGCGCATAAATTGTTACGCTATCAGTTTTAGTATGCTGTTATATTTTCTTTCTAGTTTATTTTAGTTGTTCTTAGGCCTAGCAATTAAAGAAAGGTCCGAGCTGAAATACCATGGAAGTCCATTTGGTTTAGCATTATTGTTTTCACTTTTGCCCATGGAAGGTGCTTGAATTTTTTATGAAACTTTCACTTTGAAACAATGAATTCCCAATTTTTTTTATTTCGAAAAAGATAACAATTAAATAGGGTCCTTAATCCAAATTTCACAATCCTAACTGACGAATTGAGAATGATAAATGCTTTCTTGAACTTTTAGTTATATTCAATAATATAATGCCAGTGGCTTCAAAACAAAATTCACTTTAGAACGCTGTAGTGGCAGCTGCAACAGTAAGCATGATCACATGCCTTTTGCAAAGTTTGCTCACAAGTATTGTCCCAGTAAATCAAATATATCATCCTCAAGACTTTTTTATTTTTAACTACCAAATTCACTTTAGCAGCTGTCAATCTATTTATTTATTTTCTCAAGTCTCATTTTACAAGTTCTTCATATGACAAAATTAAAAACAGTATTAATGGAACCTGAGAAGAATTCCTCACTTATAACCTGTCTTGAATTTTCTTATCGTTGCTCACAGATGTTTTGAAGGTTTCATTAGTTTTTTTTTTCTTTCTCAGGACCTGGGAAGGATCATGAGTCTTGGCCGTGCATATATTTGGCATAGAAGGGGTATTCGATCTTATGTATAGTGCATGTCATATTTTGATCTTTCAGATCTTGGGGCTGAAGCAGAGACTAACTTGGCCATTGCAGCAGGATATTTCTTAAGATAACCTCACAATTTCATTGTATATAATTTTTGGATAATTCATACGTGAAAACAATGTCATTAGTCTGTGGATGGGGTCATCATTACAAGGGTAGACTAGTTGGTTTAGAAGCTTTGGTGACACTAATGAATCCCTTAATGCGGGAGTGATAAGTAAGTCAGGGTCAGGAAGGAGCTCTTTAGTCGTTTTCCCCCTGGGGAGGGTGAGAGTTGTGAAAATTTTTCTTCTCCATATGAAGTTCTTTAGGTATTTGTTATTAAGTGCTTCAATAAAAATATAACATCTGAACATATTTTGCCATTTGACATCATATGATCGACTCTTTAATTTTTTTCAAAAAAACAAAAGGTTCCTCCACACTTTATCATTCTATCGAAGAATCTAATAGCAAACATTTGAAAACTGCTTTTAATTTTTTTCCTTCTAAATAATGCAACATCGCCATGAGTGACACTTCGCAACTAGTGCACAAGACAAATGACTTTACTTCTGTTATACTGAAATGGGTGGTGGTGGTGGTGTTGTATCCTGAAATGGGTGTAGTAAGCTATCACACCTGAAAGTATCATCAGCTAAATTTAATGTTGTAATTCTCTCATTAGATGTTTACATTTTAAGAAATCATGACACCGACTATTCTTGTCTGATAACTATAGCCGCACTAATCCATCTTCTGGATAAATCCAAACAGGCTAATCATTATCCCTGACTCTCAATCGTTTTTACTTTTGTTTTGTTTGCATTCGGGAGGACTGTCATTTGCTTCATAATTTCACTACCTTTTTGGTAGATCAGGTGTCAAAACTATCTCTTAAACTTAGTAGGACAACATCTTTCAATCAGTTGCGTAGTTTCTATTTCTACATTACTTCCCTCGAAATGTGTCAGCCATAAGTGTTTTGAACTGGGGAGTTCGGAAGTAACCTGCCAGATTTAGTTTCTAGAGCTTGCTGTTGAGTATAGAAGCAATGAAATGATTGTTAAAGTCAATATAGATGATGGGTATGAATTTGCACGTGATATGATGGTAAGAAGCCAATTTATCCGCAAAATATATAAACCTATGTACCATCAAAAGCGATTCATCAGAGACATACTGTTTTTGGAAAAACAAATGCAAGAACTTGGTTATTATCGCATACAATAAGAATTCTTTGTCATTTCAGTTAAGCTATTTCATTGCATCCTTTCACATGTGAAATCCTCTTGCTCACTATCTTTAAGATAAACACTCCTCATAGATTGGAAGATCATGCATTGCTTTTACTTTTACAATGGGTCGCAGGCACCAACGTTACTGTCATACACATTATTTCACATCCGTACAAAGACTGAATTTATTTTTCAATTTGCAACAGATTTAGACCCAAGGAGATCGTTTTCTGGCGAAATTTGATTGTGGCAGCTTATAAGTAACAATTGAAATTCTTCTTTTACAGGTTCAAGGCGGCAACCCTGCTTTTGGTCGGCCAAACCCCAACAAAGCTGATTGAAGTTCCTATCCGAAAACAGATAATGTGAGCATCTTTAATAAGGAGATGTGAGGGAAGTAGAAATTTTTAGGTAGATCTGATCCATTAAAGATATGTAAATCAAGTCAATTATAAATTTATGGTAAACATGTTAGCAGTAGATTCCATTAAAAATTATACTTGATATTCCTATGTGCAAGTTTGTCAAGATCTTGATTGATTGTTTCCTAGATAACCCTAATCCTGATCTTATAAAAAATCCTAATCTTTCTTTAATTTCAATAGGATCTTGATCTGAATCTCAATTTCCTTGGATTTTTTAATCCTACTGATCTTATGACAACTTTGGAATTTCAATTTTTTTTTAATACCTTTGTCTCCTCTGTTTCTAGATTTATAACTGGAGTCAAACCATAAAGTCAGCCCTCTTCTTAATTAGTTGTAATTAGGGGAATTCAAGCAAGAAAGGAGGGCCAAACAGTTAAAACAATTAGGGTTCGGCTCTTATCATTTTTTGGTTGTTTTTTTAAATAATTTTCAAGTGTGTTTGGCGTCTGTCAAAAATAATTTAGATGGTACTCTACTTATTTGTAACAGTATAAACATACCTATATTTTTAATTGTTATTTTTCAATCTTCTCTTATCATTTGATCATTTTAGTAGATCAACCATGACAACCTTGCTTGTACATCTATTCATAATTGACTTGGTTTACTTATCTTGTATGGGTCAATATTAAAAATTTCACCAAAAGAATAGAGAGAAGTGCTTCACCCCATATAATTGGCAGTCTGGATCCTCTGAAGTTACACAAGTGAATATAGAAGGCACATTTTGGAAAGAATTAGAGAAAAATAAAGCAAATGAATTTAATTGAGATCTGGATCTACTCATGTTTAGCCATATTTTCTTGTATTACTCTCTCTCCAAATACATGAATTGAGAGGATCTAGTTTAATATAATTGGGGTCCTTGGCTTATTCTGTGTGGTGTAATGTCAGCCTCTCCAGGACAGAATTGATGTCCCAACCAATTGATCTGATGTTGGCTTCTCAGGGTTACTTGTATAGTAATTCTTCTGTAAACTCTGAGCTTAATATTTTTACAAGTCTGTCAAATACAAGGACATCTTAACACACACACACAACAACAACAACACAAACACATAGATTCATCAAAGATGGTTATTGAGAACTTGTTATATGCTATGTGTTGTGGTGGGTGTGTTGAGAATTATATACATAAATATGCTTTATATTTTCTTATCCTGTCCACTCACCAACCGGTTCCAGTGGAGCAAAGGAAAGTGACAAGCATGGGTGCAAACTTCCTAGGAAAAGAGAATTGAAACAAAGGAAAGACAAGCAAACAGGTTTCACTCAGAAGGAAGCTTACATGTTTATTTCTTACAGGTGCAGGATTCATTTGTTGCCGGATGTGCAGGGGACATGAATGTTACTTGCTATGGCCTAGAAGGCTAGAAGTTGGGTGGGTGAATGCAATGTATACTGAACCAAGTGGTGGGAGAGAATTTAAATCCTGTCACAGGTCTCCCACTTTGGTACTTTGTACTGTAAAGCTGGTAAGTTTCGAATCTTCTTTCATCCTTGTGGGTAAAATCTTGTCAAGATATGCGTGGCTTGCGTACAGGTAACTTTGGTGTTAAAGTCGTCCAGAGGGAAATTTGAGCATTTAAATTTAAAACCTGTTTACGTGAGATGATGAAACTGCGTCAAAAACGGGACAGGCAGATGTGGATCTACCTCTAAAATAAATGAACTGTATAAGGAAAATAACAGTTCTGGAAATGTTGAGTGGAAATTTTAAATCTTGATTTTTATACCTTGAGTTATTATACTGTTATATGCAATATAACTGTGATTTGTGATGCCTTCAGTTTATATATGTATATCTTTACGTATATGAAAACATATTAGTATTTGACCGAGTTTGAATACATTTAAATCTTTATGCAGTACAATCTGAGAGAGAAAACTCAAAGAAATGGTATTTCTTTCTTTTTTGTTTTAATTTTATCGCCTGGTGTCCTAAGAAGCTTCCAGTCCAAACTAATCCAAGCCCGTCTAGGGCCATCATTACCAACGGTAGCTTTACAAATACCTCAAAAATGCCTTCAATGTATTTATTTAGCATAATTGCATACCTTGAGACTTAAATTTGAGATTCTAAGATAAATTGATTTAACTCTCTCAACCAATTGAATCTAACACCCCCCCCCCCCGGGGGTATGGTAATGTGATTCCAGATGTGTGTGTGAGGAGGGAGGTGGAGTAGTGTGTGTGATTTATTCTCTTGATATTTATCCTTTTCCCAGTGAATGCATGGTAAGCATACTATTTTTTCCCCTATTGATTAATATGCTACAGTGAAGCTTTAATGGCAGACAATCCGGATTCAAATCTGAAGTTGCATGATTAGTCAAGTAGTTCATCACAGGCCGACTTGTTTGACAGTACTCTGTAGCTGGGGGATCCGTTTTCCAGAGATCTTCTGTGCTTGGTCTTTTGGGTGAATTTGTGTTCATTTTTCAACAGGCGGCTCTGCTACTAGAAAATCTTTTTCATTATTTTACTTGAAAGAAAGAAAGAACGAAACTCTAAAGTCTCAAGTCTGATATAGAACAGCAAGCACATGATTGACGAAGTATGTGTAATTATTTGTACAGAGCCTCAGAAAGAGAGAGTGAATCCTTCATCAGATGTTCAAAGAGTCCGTAAGAAAGGCTTTACCGTTCCTGTTTTCTCCTGTGAAATAACAGATTGATCAATGCAATGTTTAGCGGCAGGGGGTCCCGTATCCTGTGCTTTAAAAAATTACCAACAAGGATTTAAAAAATTAAAAATAAAAAAATGGTCCTTTTATGTAATTTTATATATTCTTTTCTTATTTTTTTTAGTCAGGTTAAAATTAACTTTTCTTAATGATAGGAGTAAAGATTATACTGTTTTTAAAAATTAAGAGAATAATTTGTAAAATAAAAAAATTTAAAATATATGGTGCTATTAAACCTAAAATTTAAAAGTAATTTGCTCATTTATTCTTTTATTAATGACTATTATGCTGATAAAATAAATAATTATTTCCTCTTTTATTTCACTGCTTTAGATATGTTTTTTTAAATAATAATTTATACAAATTTTTTATTTTTTATCTTCAAAATATGTTCTAAGAAATTACTTTATAGAATTGTATTAAGAATATAAAAATGGAAAACAAAATCAAATAAATCCTAGGTTTCCTCGACCAAATAGAATGTCATTGTTTGGGCTACAGTCATTTTCATGATTGAGCATTTCTCTAAGGGAAAATCACTTTCATGTTCTAAATAAGTAATTCAAATACAGAAAAGTCTTGTAAAATCACAAAATCAATTAGTAAAAATTTGACGTGTGATCCCTAGATTGTAGATTTAAATTCCATTATTAATATAAGAACATTATTGATAGACAATCTATAAATACCTCCTAAACCCAACTTACCTAAAATTCTTTTAAAAAAAAGAAAAAAGAAAGGCAAAACATAACTATTGACTTAGATAGTTTTAACTTATTTTAGTATAGGTCTTTATAGTTTTTTTGTTGCTCTAAGTCCCTCTAATTTGTTTTGTCTGCAATGTCATTCCCTTTAATTTTCATCCGTAACATTAATCTCTCTATTCTCAAATATACATAGAAAGACAATAAGATAGTACACTACTGTTAGGGCTGCACATAAGTAGGTTCAAGTCAAGCTAGACATCACCCTTGTTTGGTGCTCTACTCAATGTGCAATTTGAGCCAACCCAAAGCCCAATTGTTGAAGCTAGGTTTAGCCTCAATTAACTTAAAAATATTTTTACAAGTATTTTTTTAAAATATTTAAAAAAGTATTCTTTGAAAAAAGTGTTATTATTATCATTTAAAATATGTTTTTTTATAAAAATAATATTAAAATCAAAAGTAATTTTTTAAAAAGTTTAAATGAACAATAATTGTCAATTATTTTTATATAACAATAAGTTAAAAACAAATTTTAAATTTTGAAAGATATTTTAAAAATTATAATGATTAAAAATATTTAAAAGATCTTAAAAAATAATATTATTCATAAAATATTTTTAAAAAATATTATAAGATAAATATTGTCCATAAAATTTTTTTAAGAAATAAAAAAACTGGCACATTTCTAGTCAGGCAATGTAAGGCAAGATTTGACTCCTATCCAATGCCCAACCCAATGTGCTTGAATGTCTTGAGTGGGGTCAGGTTGACCAAATATTTAGGCATATTGCACAACCCTAACTAATATCATTAAATATGTCAATATGTGACTAATATTATTAATCTTTATGAGGATGTGGAATTATGATTTCATCTTATGGCTCTTTTGAATATATTCAAAATAGATATATTAACATTGCAACGGGACCAATAATTTATATTTTCAAAAAAAAAAACAATACAATAAAAATATGAGGGATATGTAAAAGGATGAGTTTTACATTAAATTCAAATTTCAAACGTTACAACGTCCACTTTTCCTCCTCGCCATTATATAATGACTCATTTTAACACTAGGATTTGAAATTAGGACATTGTGGTTCAATTATCATCAATCATCAATATTGGCTAAAAATTTCAAACCAAATTGTATTAAATACATAATTTGCAATGAACATCATTGTTTTGAAATCATAAATTGCACCACTCACTTTAAATATTTGAGAAATTTTTCATTTTTAATAATACTCCAATAAACTTTATTAATAAAATTATATTATATTTTTGCTATATTTCCTTCACTAAGCTAAATTGTTGACCACATATTCTGCATCATTACATAGTTGTCATATTTTTCAGTTAAATACAAAGAAGAAAAGTCATGGAAAAGAAATTCTGTAATTCTAACATTCATGAACTAAACAAAATGGAATCTTTTCAAACTTTTTTCCTGATTTGACATTTCTTGTATAAACATTTCTCCCAAAAAAAAAAAAGCCAGCTAGCACCAATTCCAGCAAGGAATCCAACTAACATGAAAGCCACGACGAAGCCGATCAGAAGCAACCGATCGCGAACCTTCCACTCACGTGAATAACAGCAAAATGCGGGCGGCGACCACGTGCGCTCCGATCTCCTCCGCTCCGTCCTTCCTACGCCGAGTAAGCGACGGCGTTCCGATTCGCCTCGGAAGGCGAGAAGGCCAAAAGCATGAGCGCTGCCATGATGCCAACAGGGAAGAAGAGCAGCACCAACGGCGGCGGAGGTAGTGGCGGCAACATCAACGGCAGAAGCACCATGGACGCAGCCAGAGCCGCTAGAACCAGAACATAACCCAAGCTGAAACACCTTACCATCCTCTTCTTGCACTAAACCTCCTCACGACCATGATCTTCCGCTCCGACTCTGCCGCCTCCGGCAATGGTAGTGATGCAAGAGATTCAGGCGAAGAATTGGTAGAAACGTGAGATTCAAAGAATCGAAGAAGAGAAATCGGAATTAAGAAAACGGTATTGAAGTCTGGTGATAGAGGGTGGGTGAGGAAGCTGTGGGCGGTCTCTTCGTTCGAGCAGTTTCGGAATGAATGCTATAGGAACAGCGAAGAAAAGGTTGGAGAGGCTTTTATAGCGTGCGACGCGCGTGGCGCGAGGAAAGCAGCTCCCTCGCGTGGGTCCCAGTATGAGCGTGTAACCCACGTGCTCTGTGAAGATTGGTTTCCTTGTTGTTTTAATTATTTATTATTTATTTTAAATATGTTTAATTTGGTCGGGAAATCTGGTTTAGTGGAGTGGTCCGGATCGGCCGAATCAAAACGCCGGATCCCAATATATTCAGTTGAAACGCAGTAATTTCTCCAGCCCCATGTTATAAAATATGTTTAGAAGAGATTAAATGTCTCAAAATATTTTATCATTTGAAAATATTAAAATCTTATTAAATAAGTTTATTTTAACATTATTTTTTCTGTCTATTTAATACTAATTAAGTATAAATTTAAAATTATTAAATGAAATGTAGTTTTAAAAGTTTTCATTTTTGTTTTTAAAAAATAAAATTATTAAATATGTTTAATAAAATTTATTTATACGTGAGGTTTTATCTAAAAATATCCTGTAATTTAAGATGGAAGGAGTATTTTATTTTTTAAGACAATATTACTAGTAATTGGTAATGTTTTATAATAAAATGAATTGTATGAGTTCAAATCTTAACCCTTGTGTTGCATGTATAGTAATTAGTTAAGATATGTCTACTTACTCATTACTTTTAATATTTTTCGGGAGATATTTGTTTGCTATCGATGAAGCCTACTCTTTATGCTTACCCAAAAAAATTACTCCATATAAGTCATTTTAATTACATGTTCAAAAAAAGAGAGTTTGTTACATAAATAAAATTATCTAGAAAACTTTTTTCTATCCTCATTTCTATTAAAAACTCCCCTAAATGCTTACTGACATGTAAATAATAGTTATAATAAATTATTTAATTACAGTTTTTGTAGGGGCTTTTGCAAATTTAGCCCATAACATAAAACTAAATAAAATCATAGCTCAGCTTTTTTTAAATTTAAATAATGGCCATTTTAATATTGTGCTCAAATTTAATTGACAAAACTATCCTTTGTTAAATTATAATTGCAAATACTCAAAGACTCAAAAGTCAAAACACAAAAGTATAGGCAAACATGAAGACTCAAGTATGAAAAAAAGCATAACAGTGTAAGTGAATAGATCATAAAAATTGATAAAATTAAGCATTCTCATAATTACAAGAAAAAATGACGTTGATAATTTCCAATGATATTGTATATCAATGATATATAATAATATATTACTAATATACTATCACAAATCAAACATAAATTTATTTATCGTTGATATACAATCATATACCAATAATATATTATCGTAGATTAGGAATATGAAAAAAAATAATCATTTACCGAAAAACATATCAAGCATAGTTTGTAAATTTTTTTAAACATTTTAGTTTATAACATAGAATCAAATACATAAACTAATAAAAAAAACATGAACAATGATAGGATAATATGGCATTTTCTAATAATAATTCAAACAAAGTTTCATGATCAATGACAATAAATTATAAATTATGAACAAATGACTTATTGATTCAATGAAAATATTATTAAATTCTAGGGTGAATTTGTCGTTCTGGATTTATACTTTGAGAGTCATCACAAGCTCGTGGCCACCATGAAACATCGAAATCGAAAGAAAAGCATTGTGTGAGTATCAACATAGGTCTTCATTCCTCCACCCACCAATGACTCCCAATCTTTAGAAATGGCAGCCACCAATTTCATCCGACACTCACATCTCAAGTTTCTGGCCAGGAAGTCTCCAACCACAGCATAAGCATGACCTCCTCCTTTGGATTCAAAATTCATGCTCGTGGTTGCTAGGTTGATCCTTGTGGTTGTGGTTGTGGTTGATTGGCAAGAAAGGGAAGAAATATGATGGTTTGTATGTGCAAGGATTCAATTTAGTTAGCTGAAGGAAAAAATGATTCTGTTAATTACATGAATATATTCCTGAACCAGTTCATGCATGAATTATTGTCACGCATTTTAGTATATTTATTCTATGTATAAAAGAAAAAATCAACTCCAATTAATTTTGTGAATAGGTTATATTTTAAAATATTCGAAAATATCTTTTATAATTTTTGGGAATTATATTTTTCATGACCATT